CAACTTTGGAAAAGGATATCAAATAATTGAGTATCTTCTTTTAGATTTTTGCAACTCATTTGAAATAGATACTATAAAAAGGCTAACATAACAGGAGTCAGTAGGCCCAGTTGACCCTCAAAGTAGAAAGAAGTTGAAAAAAAAGTGGGAAATTATTGATCAGTTTAAAAAATAATTATAAATTAATGATAAATTTTATCAATTTTAATAACTAAAAATATAAGTTTTTCAATGTATTTGTAATTACTTTTTCAAATTACACTTAATTATAATTTTTTTTTTATAAAAAAAGCACTTCCATTTGGTATTTTTGATTTGGTTTTTCATCTTATTACTTCTTTTTTTACTTCATTTTCATCACATTTTTTTTTTCTCTCTAAATTTTTAGTCAAATTCATAATTTAAATATAGTCTAAAAATGTTATCATAATGCGCCAATAAAATGCGAAGTACAATTTATAGTGTGAATATTGTAGATAATTTAATTGGTTTGGATTCCTAAGAAGCACAAAAACGACACGGATATGACACGAACATACCAACATGATAATTTTTAAAAAATACAAAACACGTCATGTGAGGAACGCGTACAAAGTATATAATTTTATATATTTATTATATGTGATATATATGAATATATCATTCCAAGACAATAATAATTGAAATTGTTTTATAATTTTAACACTAATTTCTATCAATTGAAATTGTTTTTATTTTATGATTGTATTTTAAATTATTTTGTTCAAACTTATGATTAATTTTTTTGTGTGCAATGTGTATTTCAATGATGGACACGTGTACTGTCACAATTTTTTTTTTTTTAAAAAAAAAAGGGTTTAGATGAGTGTCCGATATAAACACGTATGAGGAAGTGTCTGACACAAACACACCACATTTCAGAGGTGTCGGAACTACTTAGTTTGATTCTATCCTAATAAACTAATATTTAGATGAAATATAGTTTCAAATGATACCATTATATATAGAAAGTTATCCTAGTTCCTTTTCCTTGGTGTCATGGTGCACATTTTGCTGCCATTAAACATGTGAGGTGAGGTTGGAAAAATTATTAAATATTTTCAATTGATCAAAAATCATAATATGAGTTATTATTTATTTATCAACTATCTAATAAAGGTAAGTAAATTTGTCTTATTTATAAAAAATTTCATTACAAAATTTGTTTAAAACGCTACATAGGTCGTATAATATGATGTTCTTAAGCCACTGAATAATTACTTGGTAAACGCGTTCCATTTATTTAGTTTGTTAATTCTAAGTACAATATTGATTCTTATGAATTCTTGTAGTTTTGATTATAGATACAGTGCTTTCTACGTATGTAATATATTTTATTTTTTATGAAAATGTGTGAGGCCTTTGCTTCTTGGGAGTTTTATTATAATGATATAGATGATTATGTTATTAATGGTTACTTCACTTTTGAAGGATTACAAAGTCTAAACACAATCTTCCATGAACTAGCAAACAAATATGAACTGTTTTTCGATGTGAAAAAAACACTAGTTAAATCTTATAAAACTCAAAAATGTTTCCATCCCATGTCCTCACCAATTTAATTAAAGCTTAATATACGGCTTAAATTAAATAAAAAATAAATCACATGCCAACCATATCTTAGTTTTGTCTGATTCCCCTCATATTATTATAATAATGACAGCCATACTAATGTTATAAAATTAGAGATTTGCTTTGGACATTGCAATTTTGTCTGTTGTATTGATAAGATGGTTTAAGTAAATTGTCAGATATACACAGTTTCTCCCACAATGAAGAGATTAAATTTTATAAATTTTAAAAATTGTTGTCACTTTTTTAAAAACAGAAACAATTGCCACACATGGTTTTGGTTATATTTTTTTTTTTTTTTTTTTAAATGTTACCATCTTATTAAACATGTTTAGGAATTGCTATAAGAATTAGTTATTTGTTTCGTAGGGAAGGTGATTTGATGGATTCCTCTGTTGAGAGTATAATGTTTTGTTTTATACGAGTAGAGAGATATCAATTGGGACATAGCCCTACGTTTATAAACTCAGATATAGAAAATTATGAGGGGGAAAAAATTAGTGTGCCACATTAAAACGTGAATATAGTTGAATTTGAATTATATATATATATATATATATTTATATTTGTACGTGTCTGATGAATTAATCTCTAAGATTACTTTTTATAATGTAATCTTAAAAATCAATATTTATTTTGATATATATAGAACATTATCTTTAAATGTGCATAATTTGGATTCTAAATTTATTATTATTATTATTATATGATCAATTTTGGGTGATTATTTTTATAAAGGAAATATTTGGGGGTATTAATGGGCCAAACACAGCCGTTTGCTTTTTCATATTACTTTTACCTTTTCTTTTGTCTAAAAAATAAACAAATACAAAGGGAATGTAGGGCATGTTTGTTTGTAGGTTGGGATTAGAGGTGATAAGTATAGAACATGTTATATATATTATGAGATTTAATTTATCTCATAAAAATTACTTGTGCTACGTTTGGCTATAATGAGATAAATGATAAGATAAGATAGAGCTCATCATTTTTGATTTACTAATACTAGGATTGTGGTATTAATTATCCCACAAACAAACAGAGGATAGTCGAAACCAAATCCACTTTTTTTGACCAAAATAGGATTATGTGGGGGACTTAGGATTAGGGCCTTCAATCAGTTGTTTTTTTTCCAAACAAGTACAATCATAAAAGCTTAATAACATTAAAAAATTCAATAAACAAAGAATGGTTTGGAGTGCCTAAGGTTTGTAACCCAGTGGCACGTGATTAGTTTATGTTTAGCACATGTACAATGCTTTCATCACTCTTCTCCGTATCTAGATCTATTTTTTTAATAGTTAGTAGGAAATGAAATTTGGTATAAACGAATCTAAAAAGTAAAAATAATAAAAAAAAGCCAAGTCAACTATTTGGTACTCTCTCTCTTTTTTTGGGGTCTTTTTCTGGACTTTTTTTCAATTCTTTTAAAGAAAGTTACTTTTTAGATCCGTCTAGTTGAGTAGAATGTAAAAGTTTTAAATTTTTTTCATTTATTTTTAAACAGTTCACTAATGACAAAAAAAAAAGCCAAAAATAAAAAATATTGTAAAAACAAACCCTGAACACTCATATTTCGATTTGGTCTTTTTTTTATTATTTTTTAATAGTTTGCGAGATATAAGATCTGGTATCTACTCTACAATAGCTCTATATTGTAATTGGGTTCAAGACATTAATCTAACATTTTTATACATAAAACGGGAGCTTTTTGGATAAAAATTTGGAAATTTTTGGTGGGGAAATTTGTGATTTAGGGACTGGCAATACAATTTTTTTTTACACAATATTTTAAAGTTTCATGGGATGCTTATGAAAGGAAAATGTGGCAAATTTGTTTCATATATTTTATTGCTCAATTTGGAACTTTTTTCACTATGGATGGTTAAATACTACAAAACTTCTGGAGAGTTTGCAATGCTTAGGGAAAAAAAAATTAAGCCACAGTGAGTTAAACCAATTAATCCTAAGAACACAAAACAAAAATACAGAATGCATCATATAAAGTGTATTAACAAATTGAGATTTATTTTAAATATGATCCCATCATAGATGAGTTCAATTTTAACCATCCATTACATTATCTGCAAATCATTATATATTCTGTTATGAAAGATTAATTTTATTAATCTTTCATTTTGCCACATACACGGCAATATATAGCTTGATTTTTTCTTTTTAAATAATTTTTTAAAAAATAAAATCAATCACAAACATCCAACTAGACAGTAATATAATGATAAAAAACAAAAAAAAAAAAAACTAGATAGTAGTATAAAACCATAACAAATTTTAGTTAAAATATGGTTGGATTTTAGTTAAACATATGGTCTGATTTTCAAATCTATCTTCTGAATTTTTTTAAAACCTAAAAATTAATTTAGTAAAAAATAATAATGAAAAATTGCAAAAAAATATTTTTTTTATATTTATTTTTATCAAATTAATTTCTAACTGGTGACATCACGCAATAATTGTTGGAGCAGCTGAGTTGGTGGCACTAATTTTGTTCTCTTTCCAACCTTTTGTATCGAAAAAAGCAAAGCACAACATTTGTTATACTTAACAAACATAACTTCAAGAAGCTTTGGATATTGTTATTTGGTTGGCACTAGTCCCTTTGATTTAAAGAGAAACTTCAGAAACAATATGTTAAATTATGGTTCAACTCACAACGGAAAGGTAGAAAAACTCAGTACCAATTGTAAATTTGGATGAGCTCTCAAGTTCAACTATTTTTGGTAACATTTGTCTTACATCGTACAAATTTATTGCGAGTGGTTACAATTATTAAAGATTTATCTTATAATTACGAGTCCAAAGTGATCGTACGGAAATAGAGAATATTTTACATATTTTGTCTTACATCATACAAATTTATTACAGGTGGTTACAATTCTTCAAGATTTACCTTATAGGTACGAGTCCAAAGTGATAGTACGGAAATAGAGAATATTTTATACATTTTGTCTTACATCATACTTTATTGCGGGTGGTTACAATTATTCAAAAATTTATTGCGAATGATTACAATTATTCAAGATTTACCTTATAAGTTCGAGTCCAAAGTGATCGTACGAAAATAGCAAATATTTTACACATTTTGTCTTACGTCATACAAATTTATTGCGGGTGATTACAATCATACAAATTTATTGTGGGTGGTTACAATTATTCAAAAATTTATTCGAATGGTTACAATTATTCAAGATTTACCTTATATGTACGAGTCCAAAGTGATCGTACGGAAATAGAGAATATTTTACACAATGAAGAAATAAAGAAGAAAAAAAATTACATTTTTATTTTAAAAAATGTCAAAAAGTGACGACCAATTTCCATTCATCAATTCAATTGAAGGTCCCATCACAACTTAATCAAATGTGAAGCAATTGAATTGAAATTCGATATAACGTGCAGAATGTAATTTACATGAATTTTTATAAACAAACTTACCTTTCCTACTATACACACTTTTAAAGAGATACATACTAACTACACACAATGCTTCATAACAAAAGTATAAAAGTTCACAACTTTTCTCACCACAAAAATTCATGACCTTATAATATTCATCATAACATAATTTAAGACCATTCTTGCCATGTGTCCCTTCACAACTACACCACAACGGCTTATAACTAAGCTCACAAAAATCTGTAACCTTCTAAAGATGAAGAATGTGTATAGTTGTTTGATCGTAGTGGTGCACAAATCTAGAGAAAATTCAATTTACACATTTTTCTTTTCTTTTCTTTTTTTTTTTCTTGACAGAAACACAGAAGCTGCCACTTGGCTAGATGGCATTAACTTTGGCTGCTAAAACCCCAAGTAAGTAATTACCCGAGTTTTATGTTGGACTTCTGAGTTAAATAGAATCATCAGAGTCATCGGAATCACTTCCCTCAGGCTCTGCAGCATTGCCTCCAGTATCTGGAACATCAGGTTTTGCTGCAGGAGCCGGTGTAGCTTTCTTGCTCGTATTACGAGCGTTCTCTTCACCGCCTTCCTCTTGACCTGCAACTTCAACATGTAAACCACTCGGGTCAAGGAATAACAGCAGAATCAATAATGTAGAAATTCCCTAAACCATCGACCCATTGCATACGCGATTATGCATCAAATCAACAAAGACATCATTTGTGTATTAATTGACAAATGAAATAAAATATACAAAAGGGATATCGACATTCTCAGCTGTTCCACCAGCCATAATGTTCAGAAGATCTTTCTCAACGCGCTGCACAAGCTCGGGCTGCAAAATGTAACCAAAAACCACAATCAGTAAAAAGTGGCTGCATAAAGCCAATAAATGAAGAAAATTGTGAAGCCACTTCCAGATAAATACCATGTTAAAAAAAAACTTATCATAAAGTGTAGATGAATGGTATGGTCATTGGCTAGTTAAAGTAATGGTGGTAGTTATTAATCTGTTTGGTTGGGATTTCAGTTTCTGAATTTTTTTCAGAAACCAGTTTGGTAAAATTGAAAAAATAGAAAGTTCATTAACTTGCGTCTTTTAGATGAAAAAAAAGACAATAATAACAAAAAGTTAGAAAATTGTAAGGTTTGTAATACATTTAGATCTGGCTCCCGACGAAACCTTCGCCTTCGAGCATCCCTCATGGGAGGAGTAAGGCCATGTTTGTACTCCACCACATCTGGTGCAGGGTCACTCTCTTCTCTCACCATAATCATCTGTTACACCCCAAGTTATATAATTGCATCAGAAACAAAGCAACCAACTCTGGAACTCCAAGAAAGTAAATAAGATCAAAAAAGGAGCCTACTTGGCCAATATCTGCAGTTTTGATCAGCACGCTATCATCATAAGTTTTGTATGATTCCACAATGCATGGAAGATCCAAGAGGGACGCAGGGAAATGATCATTGCCTATAGCAAATGTTCCGCTCCTCCCATCCTCTGAAACATATGAGAATTCAAAGATTTGAAGTACAGGAACCAAATGTTTTCAAATGAAAAGAATCCAATATAAGGCCAATAATCAAAAGGTTAGCAAGACAATATTTAAATGCTTTATTTTTTCTCAGCTTTTACTCTTCAGTCAATGGATCCTCTGGTGTTATTTGCACAAACAAGAAAGGAGCACCAATTTTACAAAGTCAAGTGGCTATCATTTCTAAATCTCATTACAAAGAAAAAACACCATCAATTACCATACTCCCACCCACTTCAATTGTACACTTATTTTTGTGAAGGATTACTAATTACAACACAAATGCCAATTTGCAAATCATTGTCTTTTGAATCCTTCAATTTTTTTATTCTGACATTATGGCTTCCAAGCCATTCTCTCAGCACCCTTCATCCATTTTTCGCCTTTTTCACTTGACAGTTAACTACATCAGACGTATCAACAGTAACAACAGAGCCATGAATATTTTAATTCTTCGCACAACTCCAGAAAAACTTAGCAAAACCTATGTTTTTTTCACAAAATCAAATTTTGGTGGTGGAGGTGCTACAGAGTAGGGTTGCGGGTAGGGTGGGGAAGAGACAGCGGAAGGCGTGGATGCTTGATGGTCATTGTTTGATGTGGTTGATTTGGTTGGAGTGGAATAGGCGTACTTTCGTTGATGATACGCGTTCCGTCCCATGGTTCGAACGACATTTGTTTACAGTGTTGCATAGTTGGATTACAGTTTCAGTAGATTCGGATGTGTTGTCCTTTGTAAATTTTGTTGGTGATTTGATTAGATAGCTCGTTTTGTTTTGGTTGTTTGCTTTTTGCTTGCCAGCTTTAGGGCTGGTTTTTGTATTCGTTGCATCGCCTTAAAGCTTTCTCAATAAAGTTTGCTATTTATCCAAAAAAAAAAATATTTAGTTGGGTTTAACATAACATTTTGCGAATTTTGTTCAGTTTCCAAATGTACAAATTTGTCCACTAATTTTAAGTGGCTGTGGAGATTTTTCCTTTTTTGTGACGTATTTAATCTTCTACACTTTATTGACTGTCTTGTGGATAGTTTTCCATTGTTATGGAAAACAAATTAATGAACCATATTTAACATGAAAGATGATATTTAACAATGTCCAAAAATAAGTGTAACAGCACACACACGTCACCCTAACTACTCATTAACGGAAGCGATCACCACTGATGTAATCAACATATCCAAGCAAACAGTCAGCATTGACATCCTTATTATTCAAATAGCTGTTTAATGCATAAAGAGAATATAAAGTCTCAATTTAAAGGGGCATGCATCACAATAAGAAAGATCAGATTAGTTACTTCAAAGGGGGGACCATACCAACATGTAATGATTACTGTAAAATGAAAATAATGATTGAAGATGATGCAAATATTTGTTAATTTAACGTTCAGAGAGCACAAATTTGGTGAATGATTAATTGATATCAACAGAAAGGTTTATTAAAATATTGAGCAACAAAAACAAAGAAGACGGCCTCTTGAAAATAACATTGGAAGGATGCAAACTAAACAAATGCAAAAAAAAACAAAACAAACAAATTCGTACCGGAAAAGGACAAATCCAGTGACTTATCTTCAGAAGAAGCATTCTCATCCATTTTTCGCCTTTTTCACTTGACAGTTAACTACATCAGATGTATCAACAGTAACAACAGAGCCATGAATATTTTTACTTCTTCGCACAACTCCAGAAAAACTTAGCAAAACCTATGTTTTTATTACAAAATCACATTTCGGTGGTGGAGGTGCTACAGAGTTGGGTTGGAGGTAGGGTGGGGAAGAGACGGCGGAAGGCATGGATGGTCATTGTTTGATGTGGTTGATTTGGTTGGAGTGGAATAGGCATACTTTCGTGGGTGAGACGCGTTCGGTCTCATCGTTGAAACAACATTTGTTTACAGTGTTGCATAGTTGGATTACAATTTCAGTAGATTCCGATGTGTTGTCCTTCGTAGATTTTGTTGATGATTTGATTAGTTAGCTCGTTTTGTTTTGGTTGTTTGCTTTTTTCTTGCCAGCTGTAGGGCTGGTTTTTGTATTCGTTGCATCACCTTGATGCTCTCTCAATGAAGTTTGCTATTTATCAAAAAAAAAACATTTAATTGGGTTTAACATTGCGGATTTTGTTTAGTTTCCAAATGTACAAATTTGTCCACTAATTTTATGTGGCTGTGGAGATTTTTCCTTTTTTGTGATGTAATTAATCTTCTATACTTTATTGACTGTGTTATGGATAATTTTCCATTGTTATGGAAAACAAATTAATGAACCATATTTAACATTAAAGATGATATTTAACAATGTCCAAAAATAAGTGTAGCAGCACACATGCATCACCCTAACTACTCATTAATGGAAGACGATCACCACTGATGTAATCAACAAATCCAAGCAAACAATCAGCATTGACATCCTTATTATTCAAATAGCTGTTTAATGCATAAAGAGAATATAAAGTCTCAATTTAGAGGGGCATGCATCACAATACGAAAGATCAGATTAGTTACTTCAAAGGGTGGCCCATACCAACATGAAATGATTACTGCAAAATGAAAATAATGATTGAAGATGATGCAAATATTTGTTAATTTAACGTTCAGAGAGCACAAATTTGGTGCATGATTAATTGATATCAACACAATGGTTTATTAAAATATTGAGCAACAAAAACAAAGAAGACAGTCTCTTGAAAATAACATTGGAAGGATGCAAACTAAACAAATGCAAAAACAAAACAAACAAACAAATTCTTACCGGAAAAGGACAAATCCAGTGACTTATCTTCAGAAGAAGCATTCTCATTCAGAAGGCATTCTATTCGCTCAGCAACGGAAGGTGGAACTCGGAGTATGAACTGCTCCTCCATGACTGCAAAATTTGTATCAAAATTAGTTTCTACACCAAAAAAATAACACACACACATACATACAAACATATATATAAGTAAAAACAATTCCCCTCAAGAATTGATTTGTATGTTTTGCAGGTTCTCAAAATCTAACCTGGCTAACAATGAAGACCTAATAACATGTAAGAAAAGATTGGATTAATGGCTTCAAAAATACGTCAAGTTTAAGATCTAACAGAGTAACACTTGCATAAGCAAAGAGGCTCATACACAGAGACACAGGCAAAGAGAGGAAATTATGAGGAAAGATCTCTCGTAATCCAAAGATCTTGCAACAAAAAATTCTATGCCACAAATAAGGGATCCAAAACATCATTTGGTGGATATGCATCTCCATTTTTTTATATCATGATTGGAAAAGAAGGATAGCTATCATGGTGATGCCCCTCATGTGTCTCTAGAAGACAGAGGGACGATTTCCTACAGATAAAAGGGACAAATGAGTAGTTGAGATAATCTAAGAAATTATATGATGCTTCGAACCCTAACCCATGTCATTGAAAACCTATTCTCTATAACCAATGAACTCCCCTCCCAACCCCACTGCAGTAAAAATCAACTCTTGATATATCCATGAATTTTCACGGGCCTTCAAAATTAATAGAATTCAGAGTGCAAGCAAGACGTTCGGTTTTGAGTGTAGTTGGACATAAAAATGCAATGGCATTTTAATATTACACTTCCATTCTCAATTAAAAATGCAAATGCTACACAATATTTATAGAAAAAATATTTAAAACAATTATATATTATTGTTGAAAAATAAGAGCTGAGGCCATGAAAAATATAGTTTTTGAACCATCTCGGAAACGTTCTTAGAGTTTCCCTTAACAAGTTTCGGGGGAAACAAGTTTCGGGGGAAACAAGTTTCTACTCCCAAGGAAAGTTTCCTAGAAACTATGGGACAACTCACTCATGAATAAAAATAATAATTGAAGTGGCCCTATTTCATAAAGAAGAAAATATTCTCCAAATATTTGAATCAAAACTGTACATGTTTTTCCCAAAGGAAAGTTCTCTTACTCTCACTAAAACTGTACATGTTTTTTAGAATCTTAATGTTAGTCTTGTCAATAACCAACTGAACTCCAAAATCCAGAGAACAACATTCCAATGATTAAAAGGATTCCTTTCCCTATAGGAAATCAAATTATTGGTTTAACACATTCAATTCTATGAAGTGAAATAAACAAAAATTCCAAATTACATTTTTGTAGTGTAATTTAATGTGCAGAACATGTATGTAAAAGAACATTCAACGCAAGTTAAAATGACAAAAGTTCTTAAGTCTACCATAAGATATAGCATGATGTAAAAAGAAGTTGTGCTGTCCTACATAGAAGACAAGCTATACATACAACAGAGTTTCAAGATTAAACAAAATACTACCCAGCTGTTCTACCCAGATTCAAAATCACAGAAATTGTAGTACTGCAAACACAAGCCTAAGCTCAAGTATGCTAGCGGAGACTTGTCCGGTAAAGTTTGTTGCCAATGACTAATCCTATTCGTATTGTAGGCCATGTTTGTTTCACAAACTTCATTTGATAGGATTAGCGTTATCAATTCCTTTAGATTTTGTATTTTATCCCAAGTTCGGATTGGCTCATAAGATGGGATTGATAGTCTGAGCATCTCCATAGTCCTCCATTTTGTATCCCCACACCCCTTTCTTGGGATTCAATATATGGGAATATACCATGTCGGGATAGATTATTCGTCTGGAGACTAGACCTTAATTTTTTTAGCCAAAAATCCGATTATGCATTTTGTTTTATTATTAGTCCAATCCCATAGCCATGTCCATCCAAAAAAACACAGCTGTACAGTACTCCTCAATTCTCATAAAATTAATGATTCAGCTAGGCTAGGTTTCTTCAGCCAAAACAAAAATTCATATTAACAAGGTTCAATTACACAACTTGGAATAAAAGCACTAGAACTTCCCTAAAATTGAACTCTTGTTAAGCATTTTCCCAAAGGATATGCAAAATTTGTATGAGAATAAAATCAAAACTTTAAAGTTAAAATCATAAGATACATGAATAAATGAATAGCAGTAACTACCGAATAAGTTTGTTTGGCTTGATTGCTGAATCAATCTTTTAATGGCCCATAACAGAGCCACAACAAAGGAGGGAAAATAAGACAAATATGCACAACAGTTTGAAACCCAATAAAATTAACAGCCAACAGTGAAGATAATCAATCAACCACATCTAATCAAATCCAGAAAACAAAACCAAAAACAAAAAAACAACTCGCCAAACCTAGAGAGATGGGAAATAGAGGGATTGTAGAGAAAGATACCTTTGGGTTTCAAAATTTGAGTGATTTAATCTTCAAAATCTAATCTTTCGGAAGAGATTTGGGTTGGATTTGCAAAGAAACCTAGGGCTTCAAAACTTTCAGGGTTTGATTTCTGAAATCGATCTTTTTTCCAGGGAGATTTTCAGGCTTCAATTGGTTTGCGGCAGTTGGAAGATATGTCTGTCTTGGGCTAACACTAACACTATGCTTGGATTGAGTGATTTGGAGAGAAAAGAAAAGAAATGGAGAGATATATATTTTTCTTATTTAGATAACTTAAGTGACGAGAAATGGGAAGAAACGGACAGAAACACATTTCTCTTAACTCCAACCATGCTCTTTATCTTTCGCAAGCTAAATCTTTATTTTATCTAATTGCTAGCTACTGTGTTCTCCAACCACAATCTTTATTTTAACTAATCATTCAAACTAACTTAACCAATTTTTAAAACAAAAAATATTAATTGCTGAATCTGGGCTCAAGAATACATATACATGTATATATATATATATATACACCCAATACATATACATATATATAAACCCAATACATCTACATATACAAAATCCCAAATCACTACGTATAAATATATAAGAATCTGGGCTCAAGAATGAGGCTTTTCAGCAGAGAGATTGGGAAGTTTCTGAAGGTGGTTGTCCCTCTCTACAAACAAATACGATGATCTTTCGTTGACCATCGGAGCCGATGATTTCACCTCCAAAATCAACAGCTCTCTCTCTCTCTCTCTGCGTGTGTGTGTGTGTGAGCGCTCGCCAGTGAAAGGCAGGAATCCACTCCATCTTCTTCTTGCAGGAATTTTTATTTTTATTTATTTTGGATGCTGTTGTGGATTAAAAAGCACATCAAGGGACAGCCCCGCCCACGGGATTTGCCCTCCAGGACCACTAATTGAATAACTTTTTTTGGGTGAATCTAATTGTATAACTTCTCAAAAAAGAAGAGATTCAGCAAACAAACACAGAGAGAGAGAGAGAGAGAGAGAGTAGGAGAGAGAGAGTAGGAGGGAGGGAGTACCATACCTTGAGAGAGCGTTGATGGAGAGAGATGTAGGAAACTGACGCTATGTTTGGGAACTCAGGAGAGAAAAGAAAAGAAATGATTACTTAAGTAATAAGAGAAAAGAAAAGAAAAGAAATGATTGTAATTTCTCTCCTTTTTGTTTGGATAAGTAAGAAATAAAAGAAAAGAAATGATTTTGATTTCTCTCCTTCTTGTTTGGTTAGATTTCATTAAGAGAAAAGAAAAGAAATTATTTTATGTTATATTACCAAAATAACCTTTTTATATTTTCAATCATTTTATTTCTTTTATTTTTATAGGGGTAAAATTGGTATTATGAAAATATAAACATTTGTGGATTTCTTTTCTCTCACAATCTCTCCACTTTTGGGAAGATTGAAAATAAGGGTTATGAGAGAAATGAATTTCTCTCCATTTCTCTCTATTTCTCCCCATTTCTCTCCACTTAAGATAACCAAACAAAGAAGAGAAATACATTTCTCTCTATTTCTTTTCTTTTCTCTCTGAATCACTCAATCCAAACACAGTGTGAAGGTGATTTGGTAGGAAAGAGTATGTATTTGTTTGCAGAGCGTATAGGGTTCTTCAATTGCAATTTGCAGTCAGCAAACAAATCTGATACAGCTAAAATGTCTAATAAATTTTTTTTAACTTTTTTTTTTTTTTTTGATGAATTTTTTTAATTTTTTTTTTTTTTTTTGGGCACATCGGAAAGTAATTTTTAAACTTCTCAAAAATTGAGAGGTTGGAAGAGAAAAAAAAAATAATAAATTTTTATATTTTTATAATATTAATTTTGTTCTTATAAAAATAAAATAAATAAAATAATTCTCAAGCCTCAAAGCTTTTTCATATCTAGTAAAAGATTATTTTGATAATATAATATAAAAAGATTTTTCTTTATGAAATCTAACAAAGTAAAAATAAAAGAAATTATAGTTTTTTATTTTTTATTTTTTATTTTTTCAAATAAAAAAAATTATAATTATTTCTTTTTCTTTTCACTTATGATTTAAGTAGTCATTTGTTTTCTTTTACTTTTTATGCTCCACACATATATGTAACACAATTGAAGGCAAATTGGAAGAGGCGTTTCGGGAAAATAACAGAAGCAGTTTACAGTGCCCTTTGGATGAAGGGGTGTGATGAGATCTCATTACTACTTTATTGATTTATTTTTAATTGACAAAATTGAAAAGTAAAAAATTAAAAATTAAATATTAAATTTTTTAATTTAAAAAGTTATTTGATAAAAATTTAGGTATTGAATTAAAAATAAGTTGATTAATATATATAAGATCAAATTTAAAATTTATTATTTTTAAATTGTATACTTTAATTTTGATATTATGGTGGTGGTGGTGGTCACGGTAGCTATGATAGTGGTAATAAAATAATGGTGGTGGCTATGGTAACAATGACAATGATGATGAAAGTGGTGGTGATGGTGGTCGTAACAGCAGTGATAATGGTGGTCATAGTGGCGGTGAAGGCGGCCATAGTAGTGGTGGTGATAATAGTAGCAATGGTGGTGGTGGTAATAGTGAAAGAAGTAACAATAGTGGTAGTGGTGGTGATGGTGGTCGTAGCAGTAGTGATAATGGTGGTCATAGTGGCGGTGAAGGCGGCCATAGTAGTGGTGATGGTAATGGTAGCAATGGTGGTGGCGGTAATAATGGTAGAAGTAACAATAGTGGTAGTGGTGGTGATGGTAGTCGTAGCAGTAGTGATAATGGTGGTCATAGTGGCGGTAAAGGTGGCCATAGTAGTGGTGATGGTAATGGTAGCAATGGTGGTGGCGGTAATAGTGGTAGAAGTAACAATAGTGGTAGTGGTGGGGGTGGACAAACATTAGGTCGGCTGGGCCGATAGATTTTGTGTTTGCTAAATCAAGCCCCGCCCTAACATCGAGCCTCTATACCTGCTCAAGTCCAATCCAAAAAATAATTATAAATCCCAAACCATCCATCGGGCTATATGTTTAAAAAAAATGAAATGTTTCATAATTAAATTCAATCACACATTATATTTCTTAAATAAATATATTGACATTATTATAAATATAAAAATTTTGTATATAAATTGATGGATTTCTTAAATAAATTCAATCACGTATCATTACAAATGTGAGTTTCAATAAAATCAATAAAAATAAAGTTTAAATCCTACAAAAAATATATTTTAATATATTATAAATAAATTATTAATTAATTTAATAGCAGGTCAGGCTAGGTTGAAAGTATAAATCTCAAGTCTGATCCATTAACATATTAATATTTCAGGCTGAAGATATTGGTCAGGCCTGGCCTTGTGGACTAAAACAACCTTTCCAAGCTCTAGAAAAATAGGGCTAGGTCGAGTGGGTTGACGGGCCAATGTCCACCCCTAGGTGATGGTGGTGGTAGTGGTAACGGTGGCATGATGGTGGTGGTAGTGGTAATGGCGGCGGTAGTGATGGAGGTGGTGGTAGTGGTAATGGCGGCAATAGTGATGGGGGTGGTGGTAGTAGTGGTAGCGGTAGCGGTAACGGTAGTGATGGTGGTGGTGGGAGTGGTGGCGGTGGCGGTGGCAGGCAGGAATGGCATGATGGTGGTGGTGGTGTGGTAGAGATAACAATGGTGATGGTGGTGATACTGGTGGCGGTGACACGATGGTGGTGGTGGTTATGAGTTTACAAATAGTGTATATTGATACTTATATGTAATATTTATAAATTCAGTTAGAATTAAGTAAGTTTCGTATGACTTAAAATTTTTTAAGTTTTAGTTTATATTTTAAGTGACATTTAAATTTTTAAGTAATATCAATTGTAGTTATCAAACAGACTTAATTAATTATCCCTTACTACGTTCAATTTTAAGTGTTGAATTAAGTTATCAAACACCCCATGTTTTGTCCTTTCCCACAGCCACTGCAACAAGTTCAACTCCCTTACGGGGAATTTTTTATGGAAGGGTGATAATGTCAATAAGGGGATACATTGGTCCAATTGGAGATCTATGTGTTCTTCTAAACTACATGGGGGAATAGGTTCTCTGATTTTAACCAAGCCATGCTAGCCCAACAAGGTTCGAGATTGATTAGGAACCAAAATTTCTATTGGGCAAATATTCTCAAAGGCTTGTATTTCCCTAGATTCGACTTTTTGAATGCATCTCAAGGTGCCAGAGTTTCATAGGCTTGATCCAGTTTATTAAAAGGTCGTGAGCTTCTTCAGAAAGGCATTCGGTGGTAGGTCCATAATGGCAAATCAATTCTTTTTTGGGAGAATATATGGTTTCCACCTGCTAGTAATTTCATGATCCCATGCCCAAAGCTTCCAAGTTGTCCAATTAACCTTGTTGCTGATGCCATTGATCCAGTCCATAAGCGATGGAAGTTGGAGCCTCTCCAAGATTCTATACCCAAGGAGATCATCAATGCAATCAAGACTATCCCTGCCTCAGCTGAAAGTATCTTGGTTTGGCATCCACACAAGTCTGGGATTTACTCAATTAAATCTGGATATGGCATGGCCAGAGCCTCTAATGATAGCACTCTTGCACTGTGTTTGGTTGAAGGATTTGAGAAGGGATTTAGAAAGGGAAAGAGAAAAGAAAAGAGCAAAAGTGTGTGAAAGTAGGTGAAATTTAGATATATTTTATTCATATTTCACCTACCTTTTAAATTTCTCTTTCTAAATCCCTCCTCAAATTCCTTAACCAAACACAACATTATATCTGGAAACATATTTGGAACCTTGATATCCTTCTAAAGATTCGTCACATTTGGTGGAGAGTCTGCAAAAGTTTGTTGGCTACCATAGCAAATTTATCCAAGCAAAAATGTTCCACCTCTACTGTGTGTCCGTTGTGTCGGCAAGATCTGGAAACAGTGGAGCATATGTTATTTGATTGTGCTTGGACGAAAGCCGTATGGTTTGGAAGCTGGTTATACCTTTGTTTTGATCAGGGCTCAGTGTCAAATGGTGTGCAATGGACTGCAGATTGGGTGAGGACTGATGCTTTTGCTGATTCGGGTTGAGCTTTCTTGAGCAAGGTGGCTATAATTGGCTAGTTCATTTGGAAGTCTGGAAATGACTATGTTTTCAACCATTCCCCTGGACACTCTCCAGAAAATTGCAAATGCGTGGGTAGAACAACAAAACCAGTTGAGTGTTGGTGATGGCTTAATCCCAGATCCTGCAACACTATTTGAAGAAGAGACAAATGGTTGGCAATCTCCACTTCTGGGTACATTCATAATTAATTGTGATGCTACTTTCAGCAAGGCAACTGCAAGTGCCTCTATTGCTGCAATTCTTAGAGATTCTGAGGGCCGACAGGCTGTGTGTTGTTTAGCTTGTTTTTTGGCCCAAAATCACAATCTCTCATTTGTTGAAATCGAGAGTGATAATCAAACTATCATCAAGCTTTGTGTTTCAGAAACAATTCCACCTTGGGAGAGCGTAGTGGTGGTATCTAATATCCGCTGGCTTGCACACAATGCAAATTGGGTTTTCTCTTGGATTTGGAGGTCAAAAAACAGAGTAGCTCATTGGGTTTCTAGAGCTCATGCTAGCACAATTCTTCCTGATAGTTGGGTGGCCTTTCCTCCCTCATCTTTATTTGATATTCTATCTTCTAATGTAATTAGTTCTTTCCCAATTTTTTATATATTCTACTCGTTCCAACAAAAAAAAAAAAAAAACGAAAAAATGTTTGGTTTCGGAAAATTGAGTCTACTTTTCAAAAAATTAATTTTTTATATTTTTTGTGTGTGTTTTTTTTAATTTTTAGTAATTTTTTCAATATTTTACATATTTTATTTTTATTTTTTAAATACATCTAATATAAATATGTTTAAAACGTACAATATTTGTGATTTTTTTTAAAAAAAAATTCACCAAATACAAAAAATACAAATAAATATGAAAAATTAATACATTTTCGTATTTTTTTTGTATCCAATGAATTTTTTTAAAGTTTCTTGTATAATTTATTTTTCTTTTTAAGTACATATTAAAGATTAAGTGGATCTAAAAATTAAAAATAAAATAATATTAAAAATTCAAAAAACTATTTTTGAAAATTCAAAACTAAGCAGGGACTCTTTTGGATTGGTGGCTAAACAATGGTTTTTTGTTTTAATAGATGATTTAAAAAATGGTCAGAAATGAAAGGAGAATCTTAAAATTTATGATTTATTTATTTTTCACTAAAAGTTGTTACTCCCTATAAAAATTTATAATATCTAAATTATATATTTTAATAAAAATTAAATAAAAAAACATCTTGCTTTTATTTTTTATTATTGTTTATCTAAATAAGACAACAGAAATTTTTTTTTGTTACTTGTACGAGAATTTTTTTTCTGTTTTTCTGTCTTTTGTTCAAAAAACAAATGTGGGTAAGTTTGAAAGTGAGGGAAAAGAAAAAAAAAATTATTACTCACATAAGTGATTTATTTTTATTTCTATTTTTTTTTAGATTGAACCTTTTTTTCTTTTTCTTTTTTTTTTTGGGGTTAAAATAGAATTTCATAAAATTAAATCATTCTAGTACAATAGAGTCCCCTAGCATCAATTGTGAACTTCCATAAGCGGCTTGAGTGCCAGACAAATAAGATTGTCTGCCTAAAATTTTGTACGGAAAGAGACCTGTTATTTATTTTAGGGTATATTCATTAGTTACATATTTTATATAAGTCGATTACAGTTTGCCACGTGACAAGATAAGGGCAATACGGAAAAATAATTTGAATCTTCAATCGTAATCACACACGTGGGAGTTAGTATTGGTTATTGTGGATCTGCATAAACACTGGATCAGCAAATAGATGTAAAATGACGTGGCTCTAACGATTATTCATATTTACATTCAAAACCAAGAGGGAAGCCTAACTGCAGATATGACATAGTGAAGCTAATTATAAGGCAACATGATCAGCGACTATGGAGGGCTGGTTCGACGGTTAGAAATGCAGTTCAACGGTTGTTTTGAGAAGTATAAATAGCAGAAAAGGTCCCAGAAAGTGGCCCCCAGACTCAGATTCAAAAAACCAGTTTTATTCTACTTTATATCCTTTCTAGTTTTTTCATTTCTTGTTCTTTACATTTCTGTACTTCAGTTACTGCATTGCACTTCGTTCGTAGGAGTAGTTTCAAGTAGTTTGCTGCTGTAAACCTCTACGAGGCTGATTTGGATCTTTATAAGTCTTTCATTTTACTTAATGAAATGTTACAATTGTTCTTCATTTAATCATTGTTTGTTTAATTCTCCTAAACAAAGCCACCAGTAAAAGTCCTCTTCATTGAGGTTGAAAGAACTAAAACACAATGTCGAAATTGGTTGACATATTGAATGATTCTGTAAGGATTCGATTGATTCTTGCTGGCACGCTCACAATTACAATATTAACTTCGAAAGCCAAAAAAGCCAACATGTATTTTTGGCACGCCCAGTGGAACTAATTAAAATGGCTAGACGTAGGAGACAAGGAGAAAATGAACGCTTGGAAGAAGGCATAGAAGGAGAGGTAGAAATACCTAATCTAGAGGATAATGTGATGACACATCCTGTGGAAGTACCTATTTTATTAGAACCTATGGTCGAATATACCAGCACTTCGAAGCAAGTACCACATGTTCAGAGTATTAGACAAGGCCAAGGAATTGGACCATCCATTGCTCCATCTACTCAACCAATGAATCCATGGAGAGGCTTAGTAGATGCTATGGGACAGCAATTAATGAACACCATGGAAAGATGGGCAACATCCTTTTTTAGATCAAATGAATACTCATCAACCAACTAACGCAAGGCGCATAGAGGAAGTTACAAATGTCCCTCAGCAAAGATTGGCTAGAGATAAACAGCCTATGCAGATTAATG